GTGTGTGTGTGTGTGGGATGTGGCTTCTGGAACATTTTCTTCAGGCCAAATAAAGCTGCCCATGTAAACTCCACATTCCTGACTCTGCGGTGCGTCTGACTTTCTTTATGGAGGGAGGAGGCTATCTATGTGTGTGTGTGTGTGTGTGTGTGTGTGTCTGTGTTTTTGTGTTTGAGTGTGCGTGAGGTTCACACACTTTGTGCTGACTGCAGTGAAAGCGGAGGGTCAGGGATAGTTAGACCTTGTCCTCTCTGCAGACTGAACAACTGGAACAACTCTGAAGATCTGGGAAACTACAGCAGCTACATTCACTACTGCGAGTACTGCAGTACAAACCTGAGGTACTTCATCTGCACACCCACAGACAAACCTGCTGTTCACTTTGAATTTAATCTTTCCTGAAGTACTGTCTGATACTTTGATAAAATACACTGCAGTCCTTACAGTACTTAGAATGTACTTGTACTCCTGGGTGTAGCAGTTCCTCAGACGCCTCCCTTCCTGCACTCTGGAGACTTTTGAGACTGAATCTGTTCTTTAAACTAACCTTTAATCAGTCTGAGGACAAGTCTGCAGCCCATGTGACCTCAGGACATGCGCTGAAAGAACCACACACAAAAACACTCACACACACTCAGAGGTGAATTACATGCGATGAGAGCCCACACAGGGAGGATGACACTGAGGCAGCATTATGGTGCGTTATCACGCCGCCCTGCAGGAGCTCTGTGATTACAGAGCAGCCAAAATTACACTCTGACTCTGCTGAACTCCAGAAAACCTGCAGGCAGGTCCAGAGTTTCAGCACACACACTAGCACACTAGCACACATACACACACACACTAGCACACTGACACACAAACAATGGCAAATTCTTTTTTCAAATCAGACCTCCACATAAACGTCTCTAACAGTGCTTTTATTTTGAAAACCATGGCTTTAACTTGAAGCAAATGCATTACACAAGTCTAAACTAGACCTGCCTTTAATGTACGTGTGTTTTCACCCAACACCTGTGTGCATTGTGTGGCTCACACTGGCTGATGCTCAGTCTGGTGATATTACAGAGCTGCTGCAGTGTCCTGACAGAAGGTTTTACTGAAGCTCCATGTTTTTGTTTCCACCTCAGATGATTTTCAACATCTCTGTTATTGCTGGGTTTATGCATATCTGAATAGTCTGCTGGATGGAGATGATGGTACAGAACCTGGATCATAACTGTGCCGGTGAAGGTGAGCCTGAGCCTGAACCTGAGGACGAGATGTACTCTCTGTGCTCATCTGTTGATTAACACTTTTTCATTAATTTTTTTTTTAAACGTAACCTTTTATATCCGGTTTTTAAGTGATGACGTGATGAATTCTGCTTCTGGGCCCAAACTACCCTGCGTTTAATAAGGCTGTTGTGTATTTATGTTTTAATGCTTTGTATCTTGTTCTATTTAATCTCAACAAGCCCCTAAACCAGTCAGTGATCACTGTCAGCCTCTCACGGTTTTTATTATTATCGCTATTCATTTTAAAGCGCCATTTTTAAAACCTTACGATTTAACTACAGCACAGCCCATGCAGCAATATATTAATGACTAACCTCGTATTGTGGATAGATTATCTCAGTTGTTCTCCTGGCTGAAGTTTGGTCCGTTTACAGCATCCTGCCATGTGATTGCATTTGTCCCGAACCTTCGGGAACCCTCACGTTAACTTTTATTGAGTGGAAAAAAGTTAGCATTCACCCTCCAGCTTGAGTGTTTATATTATACTAACATAGCTGTGTCACTAGCGATCGTGTAGCACATCATTATATACCAGCTAGCCCAACTTCAGTAACCCTAAGAACATCACTGCTGTTTACTTTCCTGTCTTCATTTATGTCGGGAGTGATAGAGCTGTACGTCTTAATTTGTTTCGGAAATCCCTCAGTCAGAACATGGTGTGTTATATTTAGATGGAAGCTAGCAAGCTAACTCCCTGCTAACTTCTAACGGCATTAAATTTCATAAATTTGGTTTTCATGGATGCCTGGATGTTAAACTTAATTGTTACACTGGCTGTGAAATGACCTCTGAGCTGCTCAGACGGTCTGTCTCAGCCTTCAAGGTCACTTCAGCTCTAATTTGCATAACATGTTTGTTGGCTTCCCGCAGCTGAAGAGGACCTGAAAAGAACAACCCCAAACATGCAGCACACTATGAAACATCCAGCTGTGCAAGATGAGCAGCAACACCACAGCAGGAAAACTCTGACATGAAGTTTGAGTGTTCCAGCAGGACAGAGACTCAAAATCATAGCCACAGGTGAAATATTTTCCAGGCCACAAACGCAAGTCGACGTACATTAAACTCACCACGATCTTAAAGAAACCTTTTATTCAACAACACCTGTGAGCATATTTAGGGTCAAACATCTGCATCCACAAACACATGGCAGGAAACGTGTGCAGCCTTTCTTTATGACAGTATAACGCACTCTAAATGAGTATGAATTTAACTGCATCAGATTCATTGTAAGGTGTTTACAGTTTTCTGTTTGTTTTTGTTTTTTTGTTTTTAATTTTTATGGGCGCTCTCAGGATTTTATTTTTATTGCATAAATAAACTGAACATTGAGCTGCTTTGAGTTTAGGGACTGGTTCTTATACAGTGCTTTTCTACTCTGAGCACTCAAAGCACTTTACACAACTTTGGCCTCTTTCACACATTCAGGCTCTGTTGGATGCAGCTTGGTTTTGGTCTTGTCCGAGGATATATGTCATGCAGACGGAAGCAGACGGGGATGGAACCTAAATCTTCTGTTTAATGTTTGCAGTTTTTTACTTCAGCTCTTTTATCCTTGTGTTGTTTCCTGTGATGTGCACTCTGTCTACTTTGTCACTTTGAGGCTGTAAATCTAATAAAAAATTATCTTTGTGTTTTGTTTGCCTGTTTTTAGGTCCTCTAAATCACTGTGGTCAGTTGTGCTGTACAGACTATGCATGCATGTACCTGTGTTAAAAATACTCTGTATACTCTGCTGACTGCTTCAGTATGAAAAGCAGTGATGGATGTTCCAACAAGATCATCTTCTGTGTTTTTGTTCCTCCTGCGAGTCACTTACGATGTTTGGAGGGGAAAATAAAAACTCCCCTTCGGTGTCTTAAAGCTAAAGTAATGAGCCTGGTTGGAAAAATGAGAAGAGAGGACATTGAGATGTTTGCGTTTAATGGTGGGACTAAAATAAATACTCGAGTAAATACCAGAATATGCAGCTGAAGTACAGTAATCAGGTAAGTGTACTTTGCCTCCACCTCTGACTGCTTTACTGTAAGTGTAGAAACGTACTGTTTCATAATGTTTAGTTTCTTGGATCATGAACTAGGGTGTTGCCGAGTTTTCCTGATCATCCACAAACACTTTTTCCTGCTCAGAAAAGTGTTGCAGACCTGCAGCAGAGTGCACGCTCATCCTGTGCTTTGGTGCCTTTTTCGTTTTCCTCTTGGCCTGGTGCGTCCTGGCTCTGGTGTGCTCTGGTTTGGCTCTGGGTTTGGGTGGGTCTGACTGTGTGGTTTGACAGGCTCGGTAGTTAGTGCCGGGCTGGGCCTGGGGCTGCTCTGGCTCTCAAGGCAAAGTCCAGAATAATGACTGGATCCAAGTGGCCAGGCTGCGGGACTGACTGCTGACTCAGAGAGGCTGGCAGAGCAATTCAGTGATGTTATCCATGAAAGGAACACAGCTGGGATACATAAACACGACCGGATTCAGTTTAAAGGAGACATATTTACACATTATTCTTTAGGGCTCCACTGCAGACTTTTTTTTTAACTAAAGTTGGGCTAAAAGCTCAGTTTATCCAGATTCTTCAGGTAAAAGAACATAAGTAATGCTGAGAAAACAAGTTGGCTCAGGCAAGAAGAGAGTAATGCACAGAGAGAGGATATGAACCTTGCATATTGTGACTGCGGAGCTTTTTATTAACCAGCAGTCAGACATTAATCAGTGCTGTGAAGTCCAAAGTCCGTCCTATGTTTGTAAAGCAGGTGCAGAGAAACCACTGAGAGCCCTGTGACCACACTTTACCAGGAATCAAACCCACATCCTCCTCAGGATGCCTCAACCCTGCAGGGCATTAATGCATGGACACCATCCAGAGAAAACTTCCCTCGTCTCCTGTGTGGCTTCTATTATAAATACAGGAATTTTCTCACTGCTGGCTTCGATCCAAGGTCAGCAGCTTTTAGCACTTTCAGAGCTTTTTGTGGTTATTCAGAGGATTTTTCTGAATGAGCACAGCAAAGTTATACAGTTAGGACAGGAAAAATCAAACATCTGTCTCTCAGTACAGTGCTGACCATACTGTCTCAGCTGACAGGACAGTGGCCATATCACACTTTCAGTGCCTTCACTGAGAGACTAGCACATGCTGTGTTGTGGGTCAGTAAAGCTCTGGTCAGAGATGCTCTTCTTCATTGGTCCACATGTTTAACCTAAATCCTTCTGAAGTGAACTTTAAGTCCAAAACGTCTCTGTGTTGATCTAAAAAGACACAACCATAAGTCAGACTGGAGCTGCAAGGTTGTATGGTTTCCATGGGCCCTGAATGCAACACAACAGAAAATACCGCACAACAACAGCAGGGGGTGACTCCTGTGGTTTGACTGTGTAGTCTGTGAGTAAATGATCCTGCTTGTCAGCTGATGTCTGAGCTCAGTAACTGTTTAAAATTACAGTAATTTTAAACATTTACATCTATTACTTTGTTGTTTTGGTGTATTTGACCATGATTGAGGTTACTGTCAGGAGAAAAGCTGTAAAACTTATAAAAACAGTTCAAAGACCAAAATTTCTGGCCACCTTCACATTTTTGAAAGCCATACATTGGGCCGGACTGAATTCTTTGGCAGGCCAATTCTGGCCCCAGGCCTTATGTTTGTAGCTTAAAGCATGCACGGTTAGCCAATCTGTCTGCAGTCAAGTCCATCCCACATGAAGCACATGTGCGTCCTTTATATACAGTCTGTGGAGAGTACTGAGAGGTGGAGGAGATGCCGTTTCTAACATATAAGGACAGGAATCAGTGAGTGGGACTACAAACAGTGGCTGAAGCACCTGGAAAGCACCTGATAGCAGCACCTGTGCTGGCTCCTGCAAATGAACCAAAGATAAGAGAAACTTTCGTTCCTGTCGAAGATCCTTGAGAGACTAGTTCTCTCCCAGCTCCAGGCGTACTTGGACACGAACAATATTGCTGAGAAATTTCAATCTGCCTTTAAGCCATTGCATAGCACTGAAACAGCGTTGGTTAGAGTTCTTAATGATATTCTTGTAATCACTGATACTGGACGCTCTATGGTCCTAGTTTAACTGGACCTCTCTTCGGCCTTTGATATGGTGGACCATAACATTTTATTACTAAGACTTGAGCAGTATTAGAGGCACTGCCCTCGACTGGTTTAAATCATATCTCGCTGATAGATCCTTATCAGTTAACTTAGGCACCTTCTCCTCTTCCTCCGCTCCGGTCTGTTGTGGTGTGCCTCAAGGATCAGTTTTAGGCCCTGTTCTCTTCTCATTGTATTTGCTCCCTCTAGGTGCAATCTTTGAAAAATACAATATTGCCTTCCACTGTTACGCCGATGACATACAGATCTATTTTGAACTTACTGACGGCCTTGCTGTGTCCCTACACTACTTTCAAGAATGCATGCGGGAGGTCAAAGAATGGTTCCTGAGTAATTCTCTTGTTTTAAATGATAAGAAGACTGAGATTGTGGTGTTCAACTCTGTGCTGCCCTGGGTTCCTTTGCTAGCTTTTCTTGTGACTATGTCAGTAACTTGGGTGTACTGCTGTGTCATGGTCCGTGGTCCTGTGTGTGTGTGTGGAATGTGTGATGCGCGGGTAACCACACCCCCAAGCTGGGCCATCACCGGCACACCTGCTCTCCTTCGGGGTGATTACCTGAAGAGCTACTTAACCCGGCGCTGACAGATGCTCCACGCCAGTCTGTTAATCACCTCTCTGTGGTTTCAATCCGGCGTTCAGCGTCTGCCACCTGCCTATCCTCCTGCTCAATTGGATCACCCGGTGCATCATCTGGCCCATTCACTACCTCCACGGATTTCCTTCACACGGACTTCCCTCCCGAGCTCCCACGGTCCCGCTCTAATCGTAAGCCAACTAGTCTAACTCAGTTTTGATGTGTTTCCCCAGCTTCCCGGCTCCCTAGTAATCTTCTCCCTTTTCTGTTGCAGCCTCCCACGGTCCCGATTCCAGCTTCCTCGCGTCATTGTTTCCCCGGGTTTTTTAGTTCCTCGTTTTGCTCCTCTGGTTTTCCCGGGTTGCCTTTTGTTGTTATAATAAAGTGTCATTTTCTGCTAGCGCTTGAGTCTGCGTTTGGACCTTTTTGTGCACGTGCGCTGTGGCGCATTGCACTGCTGGATAGCTTGCTCAAACTGAATAAGCAAGTGTCTGCTGTAGTGAGATCTAGCTTCCACCAACTGCGCCTTATCTCTAAG